CTATGAGACCCAAGATATTGCTATCAGTATTGATCAATGTAGAATGTTGTAGCCCTTCGTAGATATCTGTTTGGGGTCTGCTACTGACATGTATTCTTAGGTCAATTCACACGGAACTTGAGTTCCATATCAGGATCCGTGTACAAGTGTAACCTGTTTGTTTGTGATTCAGAGAGCAGCATTTTCAGTTGGATTGTAGATGTTCTTTCGTTTAATGTCAGTGTGTATAGCTTACTTTTGCCTTGTAATATTCTGTCAGTCTGTATTTATCAAACTTCAAATACATATAACCTATTGTCCAATGCTAAATTGCCAATGATGGCCTTTCCCTCTTTTGGGCGCTTCTTATTTCTTTGGCCCCTGCACTAGCTTATCACGCAAGATCCATGATCCTTTTGGATCCACTCTTTACTGTTGTGCACATCTTTCTGAAAGTAACATATACTATCACTATTGATGCCCTCATGAGTCAAGAGTTAATTTTACTACTATTGATGATGTTAATTGTTTGCCCTGCTTATGTAATTTAATTCAGTATTGTTTTCTGCTGTTCTGCAGGCATTCAGTGGACATAGAGGGCCAGTATCCTGTCTTGCTTTTGGCCTGGACTCTTCGGAGTTATTCTCTGGTTCTTATGATCGTTCAATAATGCAGTGGAATGCTGAAGATAGAACATACATGCACTGCCTATATGGTCATCAAGGTGAAATATTGACAACTGATGCACTCAGCAAAGATAGACTTCTGACTGTAGCACGGGATAGAACAATGCATCTTTGGAAGGTAATTTGCACTTAGCTCTGTTTCGTTCGTTGTAGCTTCTACGCTTAATATGTTTGTGCTACTATCAGATAATGCTGTGTTTTTCAATAAATAGGCGAGACACTGTGTGATTATCTGCATGCTAGCTGTTTTCAATAAATAGGTAGCCTGATAAAACCTCATGTAAGGTTTTGAACAATGTGTGAACATGTAAATGACACTTTCATCTTTGTTTCATGCAACCAAGGAGAGATGCTTTAATTCTCGAACAGACATGCCTTTCTCTGTTAAGAAATGTAGGCGAAGACCTTGTAATGTCAGGGCTTACCTTTCCATTTAATAAGCTTCCATTTCTTGGCAGATACCGGAGGAGTCACAGTTAGTCTTTCGTGCGCCTGCTGTGTCTTTGGAGTGCTGCTGCTTTATCGATGACAAGGAATATTTGTCTGGATCAGATGACGGAAGCCTCGAGCTTTGGAGTGTTATGAGAAAGAAGCCTACTCACATAATAAAAAATGCCCATCCAGCATTAGCTCCTAGTTCACTTGACAGCGCTGATGAAAAGTTGCCCAAAGGTAAAAGATACTTTCTCAATTCCGCTGCTCTCTTTCTGCGATAAAAAAGAATCATTTCTTTTGATGCAAGGTATGGTAGGATTTTATCATTATTTCTTTAGCTTCTTATAGTGATTGGAAACTATGCAAAGATGTTATTTAACCAGGCAATATTAGTCATATTTCCCTTTTTCACCATGCGTTGGTAGTTTGGTACTTGTGGTCAATGCAGAGAGAACATTGCTTTCCTGTATGCTCCCTCATTTCAACAACTGAGATTATGTCATGTTTATTCCTCGTGCAACTATGCAGAAAATGGAATTTGTAAGCCTCAGAGCCTTTCATCAGCTCATTCATGGATTAGTGCTGTTGCTGCAAGAAAAGGTTCTGATCTGGCTGCGTCTGGAGCAGCAAATGGTGTTGTCCGCCTTTGGACAATTCAACCTGATTCAAAAGGGATGCAGCCATTGTTCGACTTGCCACTGGTATTTAACTCGCATTATTCTACTTCACCCCGGTGGTCATTACTTACTGCCATAATGACTACCCTATATTTTCTGTATGACCCTGTTGTAAGTCTGATCTGCAATTTGTCATGGGCAGGATGGCTTTGTCAATTCTCTTGCAATAGCAAAATCGGGACGCTTCATTGTTGCTGGTGTTGGCCGAGTAAGAGTTTTTCCCGTCTTTTTTAGCTGGTGAAATTTGGTTGCGTGCATAGTATGATCCAGAGGCTGAGAGAGTTGTCTCTTTTTATATTGAAAAAATTTCACGATATGCAGACATGACTAATGATGGTCATTCTTATGTTTGCTCTCAAGATATTTCGTGTAGCAGCACGAAACGAATTATCATACACTATTGTATCTTCAACAGCATGACTTGATTATCTCCATTTTCTTAGGAACCTCGTCTTGGGAAATGGGGCCGTGTCGCAACAGCAAAGAATGGGGTTGCAATTCATCGGCTTAGTCTACAAGATGACTCTGACGATTTGTAGGGTAGATAGCCTGCGCATTGAGAAACACCCTGCGGCTTGTTCATACACTGTCAAGACGAGAAAGATTGTACCAACACCATGAGTGTCAGTCACACTTGCAGCTGAAAGATACAGGAAGGTTGAACCGCAAGCTTCACGCACCAGCTTTACCGTTCCGTTCAGTGAAGCAATTTCTGTGTGCAAGCACGGATGGAGAGGTGTTGGAATGATTGGATGTAGAATGTGATTTCTGGGGAATGTCATGTTCAGTTTTCTTCTCTGTTTCCATTGTAGACGGCAGCTGCAGGTTTGAAACCCTATGAACAAGCTCAGGAAATGATTGTCCAGTTTTGTGCCCTGCCTGAAATGATTGTCACAGGAAATTGTTGAGGTAGTTTTTTGCAGGGAAACATTTTTTGTGGTTTTGGCTTTGGCGGGAGACATTCTATGTAATAGCAAATTTTGATGGCTGGTAGCTATCTTTGGTGAAACTGAAATTTATGTTCATTTCTTTGATACAAATATGATGGCTCAGACGTAATTGGGTCCACAAGTAGCCATTTTGTTTTCAAAAAAGTACAAGTGAGACTAGGATAGAAGATGTGTGTACTGGGGACTTCGTAGAGAACCCCAAAGAAATGTGTAATATGTCTTCGATGTAGTTTTAGTTACCCTTCTGTTTCTATTTTTGCAGTAGGTAATCTGCCGTAGGTAATGTTTCATATCAACAGGACACATAGAACAGATTCTATAATGCAAACGAAAAGATAATGCCGCGTGTGGATCATAGAAACACTGCAAACTTCAAATAAACATCAACCATCCAACAACAAACTAAAAGATAAACCAATCGGCCAACAGAAAATATGTTACTTGGCCGTTCCAGTTTAAAGAACAGTGGGAACATCATGATTCCATTAACCAAGATGTATCCAGTCACATCATCACCGAACACTGATTAGACCATCATGGTCAAATCAAACAGTTTTTTTAGCAGAATCCTATCCAGTCACATCATCACCAAGGTCTGTTTACCCGCACCATGAGGCCAGTCTCAGACTGGAAACCCTCACATATATCATCAGGCTGCACAAGACTCAAAACTCCCAGCTAGAAACATTTAGAGTTACCTTGCATTGTTGGGTTGCAAAGAACCACAGCACATAAAAACCGGATCATGCAAGATCCACACACGAAGCCAGTCTCAAGACTGGAAACCTTCGCATATATCATCAGACTCCAAACATAACCAGAAATAGCTAGGCTAACTACACTAGATCAACCAAACAGTAACCAGAAGTTGCGACAGGTGTACCCCAGAGACATTGTGATCGAAGACACTCAGCTTTACTGCGAACGCCCACTTCTACTCGCTGTAGTCTCTTCAGATAACGTTTTCACCTTTCTGAAAAAATTGAATGTGAATTAACAGTTACAGAACATAAACGCAAACTGATATGCAGTCACAAAACTACATAAACATTGACTGATATGTAGTCACAAAACTACATAAACATTAACTGATATGTAGTCACAAAACTACATACACATTAACTGATATGTAGTCACAAAACTACATAAACATTAACTGATATGTAGTCACAAAACTACATAAACATTAACTGATATGTAGTCACAAAACTACATACACATTAACTGATATGTAGTCACAAAACTACATAAAGATTAACTGATATGTAGTCACAAAAGTATCTTACGTGTGGAGTCTGATCAATTCCTGGTTGTCTGGTTAAAGGGCAAGACAAGCCTTTACAGCTAAAAGAGCCTTATCATATTGCTGCAAGGAATACAAACAACCAATCATCAAAACTAATGTATCCGATTTAGAGCATTACACATGTAAGTTCAAAATTGACGGTTTGGGAATAATGTATGTCGACGGCGTCTATATGGGAAATACTGCATATAAAATAAATAATTCCAGAAGCATAAATGGTTACTGCCCAGCAGCAACTGCCTTGGCAACGCCGCCTCAGTAACAGTAAATCAATTCAACAGCACAATTTTATGTAAATGTAAGCATGCTAGCAATAAACTAATCCCAAATCACAAGGATATACAGCTTTTATAAACTATTCCCAATGCAAATCTGGTCATCCAACAGAAGTCCAAAACTAGTACACAAACTGGGCATCCAGCATTCCTGTGAAGTGCCTAGTTAGCATATTAACAAGCTACTTATTTTACCATGATACTGTTAAGAAAATAAGATACAGCTTATTGTGTAATCGGTATAACAAAATACTGCATGACCAACCTTATATAAGAAATAAGCACTTGTGTACGTAGAAATAGATTCCACTGTTACTTCATATTCAGATGACGTCATTCCAAAATGTACACAGAGGTCGCATAGACTGCTGATGTTGCTCCAGTCCCATTCATCCATATCAGATTTTAAAGCCTGCCATATAAAGGAAATATAGTTCAAGTCTTCATGATACATCGCAATTTGTACTGATGCAATGATTGGAATAAGGATGCAATGGCAAGAATTCTACGTGTTTATAGGACTCAGTTTCATGGATGCATCGCCATATTCGAATTGTAACATGACTGAAACTGGCAAGCCGACACTTTGCTACTCAGGAAATCCATACTTTTGGACTTACCTTGCAAAGATAGATCGCGACAACAACATTTCTAGCTTCCAGTTCAACAATTATTCTGGGGCGCAGCTGCTGGATTTTATTTGCTTTCCTCAAACGGTCCTAAAGCATAACGGATTTGTGAAATGTAAATAAATTATGCCACAAGAAAAACGGAAGCATTGAACACTGAAGTCAAAACAATACCTGATGCAAAAACTCTTCTGTCTGGACATGGATGAGTAAATTTGCAATGGTCCAGTCCTCTATGCCAGCTATCTGTTTTGTTCTATGAAATAAAAGGTCGATGACCAGATTCCATTCGTTTTTGGCGGCGATGATCAATGCTGGTTCTTCAAGAAAACCCTATATTTTTAAGAGATACATGTCAAAAGGAGAGAAAACAACATAACATGACACCTAATAAATCCACAAAGAGACCGACGAAGACCTGGTCCAATATGTTCACATCTGCTCCATGGTTTAAAAGCATTTTCATAAGAGCATGAGCTTCAGCCTCATTGGTTTTAACCAATGCCACTTTAGTGAATAAGGGAAGAGTACCCACATCAGATACCTTATGGCAGCAAATATGAATTAGTGTGAAACTATGAACAGGGAAAACATTATAAATATAATAAGTAAAATGTTATTACCCCTGCAAGAAAGTTCTGACAGTCAACTGAAGTGCCGAACAGGGAACAAATAAGTGGCGTGAAATTTCCAGCACTAGCAATGTTTACCTATTAGCAAATAAACGCAAATATAAACCACATTACAGAACCGAGTAAAGAAAACTATCTGATGCATAGTATGAAAAGAAAAGCCACCTCATTGGGGAAATCCTGGTGAATAGCTTTAATAGCCCCAAGACTTCCTAAAAAGGCAGCGGCGTGGATAGCCTTCCCAAAACAAGTATTCCCCTCAATGGTTGCTCCCAGCCTCATCTGTTCAAGGAGAGCATCAGTATTATCTGAAAGGAAAACACAAATGAATATTCATAACATGACAGCAACAAGAACCAGAAATTTGAAATGGTGACAAATGCGTCACCACAGAAGCAGTCATACCATAGAAAACTGCCAAATGCAATGGAATTAACCCTGAATTATCAGTTGCATTCACATCAACGTGATGAGTGTTCACCAGAGTGTCCATCAAGACAATGTTTCCACCTCGGGCAGCAAAATGCAGGGGAGTTCGTCCTATAATTACTAGACCACGTGAGAGAGCATTTCTAGATTATTGCATAAAACAATAACAACTAGTAATGTAGGAAGCCTACCAGCCTTGTCATGAAGCCTAGAGCTTGGGTCGGAATGAACATATTCCAGTAAACAAGTGGCAAGCAAGTTGTTTTTCTCCATTAAAGCAAAGCTGAGCACACCCACACCTTGAAGCGTATTGTTTGCAAAAAGGTTTACGTATTTCTCACTCTCTCCCATAGTCTTGGCCTCGTCTGCATTTTTTCAAAATTAAGAAAATAAGTAACCAGAACTACATGCTAGAACTCTGTTAAAAAATAAACATAACATCTTATACCTTTAATACTCTTTTTATCCTTCCTAGTAGTGGCATAGAGTGTAGCGGTTATGAATTGTTGGACCCCTTTAAAGAATGGATTGTGCGTGAGAGAGAGAGAGATGGAAAGAGGAGAAAATATAGTGTAAGTGGTAGAGATTGATTATTACTAAGCTGATCCTCATCTTCCTGAGTCCTGGGATTACCCCCATGCCTGCGACCCCTCCTCGCCCTTTGAGGAGGCATCTTTCTTAGAACCTGATACAGCAGAAACACAGAAACATATAAGCTGAGTAAACGCAAAATGAGTGACAATGGAAAGGTATTGGTACAAAATCACTACTATGAACAGCAGCATATAAACCGATAAAAACTAACCCACACAAATATAAGGGCATGTATAGCCATCTTGCGATAAATGCTAACCTAACTGTATGATTAATAGCAAGTGTACTCAAATACTCCTTTACTGTCTAAATAAGAACTAATATGTGCATTCAAGATAGTCCACATAATAGGAGTTGTTTGAATAAGAACTAATATGTGCATTCAAGATAGTCCTCATAATATACCAGCATTAATTGCCACCTTTACTGTCTGAATACTAGATCACTTCTATTATGGTCATAGCCAAGTGTATAATATCCAAGCATTCCCCTTATGATCTATAATGCATACATTATAACATAACAGATACATATGTATCAAACTGAAGCAAAATTTAATAAACCACACATATCAACCAATTGAACTCGCAAATTCGCACATCCCGAAAGACTTAACATAATAAGTGCACGTACGACCCCTGTCACGTCCTAGATCAGGAGTCTCAATTCACAAATTGGACGATAGAAGGACGACGCCCTAAACGTAGACCAGATTGCAAAATCGAAGCATGAACGGGGAAGATCACCAGGTCAGATTCGCATTCACGGGATCTCGAAATGCCATCCGCGGCGCGAAATTGATCTCGAAATGCGATCCACGGCGCGAAACTGATGTCGAAATGCGACCCGCGGCGCGAAACTGATGTCGAAATGCAATCCGGCGGCGCGAAACTGATATCTAAATGCGATCCGCGGCGGGGAACTGATCTCGCAAGGGGATTTGTGGCGCGTAAACCAACACTCGCAGAAGATTGAGGAGGCGAGGAAGACACACCTGCGGGGGCTGGCGACTGCGGCAGACGCGATCGAAGAAGAGAAGCGACGAGATCCTCGATCACGTCGTCCCGGCCCGGCGACGAGATTGAAGTAGGGTTTCTG